AGGGCCAGGAAGCTGCTGAAATCTGAAATGGGAGCCCACAATTTTAACAGAGTTCTTACTATAGTACTTCAGGGAAGTCTCCTGGTCACTGACAGAGGCTGGCTTCTGCCCTGATGAGGGAGGTTTCATACCCTGACTACCTTGCCCATCGCTCCTCCTTAGTGTTTGGGCTCCCTCCCTCTGGGAGCTGCTAGAGCCCCAGCACACACCCCTTGTTGGCAGAAGATACCTCCGGCTGGACCTGTTACCAAGCCCATGGGAAGGGGTTGACTCCAAGCTACTTTGCTTATGCTTCATCTCTGAGCTGCCATACTTTGCTGTCCAGGTGCTGGTGTGAATCACCCAGCGGGTGAGCTAAGGACAGCCTGTTACTCTCAGAGCGCCAGTTGGTGCTGCTGACCGCTCTGTTAAAAATCCAGTCAGCAGCGCAGTGGTGGCCCAGAGCTAAGGCAAGCTCTCGACCAGCCATGGCTCTGCATGGCTTCAGGAAGCAGCTGCCAGGTCTCTGCAGTCCCTAGGGACTGGAGGGTGTCCAGAGACCAGAAGGCACTTTCTGTAGTAGCCCCGCCCCAACTGCCACCTCTACAGCTCCCATTGGCTGGGAACCACAACCAATGGGAGCTGCAGGAGAGATGCCCATGGGCAGGAGTGCAGTGTGTAGAGCCTCCCTGGATGCCAATTTGCCTAGGGGCCAAAGACCTGGCCTCTGCTCCCTGGGAGCTGTGGTAAGTTCTGGGATCCCACGCCCCAAACCTTCTCCCCATTCATTCCCCCACCCTAAGCTAGAGCCCCCTCCTGCACTCCAAATTTCACATCTCTGGCCCCACCCCAGAGCCTGCATCCCCACTCAGGCACCTCATCCTCCAATCCGGGGCCACTCTCCTAACCAGAGCTCTCACCCCTCCTGCACAGTGAACCCCTAATTTCTGGCCACCACTGGGAGCCCATACCTCTATTCCATACCCTCTGCCACCCCTTATCACAGCCAAGTGAAAGTGAGTGAAGGTGGAGAAAATGAAAGACAGAGGGAGGGGAGATGGAGCAGGCAGGGGTGTTTGGTTTCATGCAATTAGAAAATTAACTACCCTACTTGTCCATGAGGGCCAGTCAGCCTTCACTCACTTGGACCCATAGGAAACCCTCACATCTCTAGAAAGCAAGTCCCTTCTCTGACCTCCCCTAGTCAGATAGACAGATTCCCACTACTGTGTCTAGCTGCCCCCACCTAACACCCGTTGATGCCAGCCAACACCCTCCATAGCCCTGCTTGTCAATGGGTATGTCTACACTTGCACCCTCTTTTGAGAGAGGGATACAAATGTAGACATTTGAAATTGCAAATGAAGCGGGGATTTAAATATCCCATGCTTCATTTGCATATTAACGATATGGCGCTATTTTGAAACAGCTGCTATTTTGAAATAGCGCCTTAACGTGAATATGCAAATGAAGCGCAGGATATTTAAACCCCAGCTTCATTTGTAATTTTGAGTGTCTACATTTGCATCCCGCTTTCCAAAGAAGGTGCAAGTGTAGACATACCCAAAGTTGTTTTCTGAAGATAAATATCATCTCAGCAGGATGATCATCAGCCACAGGTCTCCACCCTGCAGAGGAAGTGGAGGGAGAAGCTAAGAGCTGCCTTTCTAAAGTTTACCAGCAAGCCACCATTTAGATGTATACATGTCAATTTATATCTAGCCTATCCAAGCCTCATTTTGTTTGTGACTCAGATGCCACAATGCCATAACTACCAAATCCTTTTATTTAGTACTAGCTGGATTTACCCGGCATCGCTCAGGAAACCGGAGGAACAAAATTTAGAAAAACAAGCTGGTCCTGACAGCCTCCAGCCACACTGCAGCTGCCAGTGCCTGACATCTGGCCATTATGGCAGACCCCCATGCTTTTCTACTGCTGCATAAAGCAAAATCTCTGACTAAAAAAGGGGCATGTCTACACTAGCTCGTTAGTTCGAGCTAGATAGGCAAATGAGGGCAACCGGAGTTGCAAATGAAACCCGGGATTTAAATATCCCAGGCTTCATTTGCATGTTCCCGGGCACCGCCATTTTTAAATCCCCCTTAGTCCGAACTAACTGCCCGCGGCTAGATGC